AATATAGCCAATAAACAAGCAAGTACTAATTCTATTTCCAAAGAACAATGTTTTTTAATGTCTTGCTGCATAATTTAATTGATTATCTTAAAAGTTTTGGACTGTTGGTTTGTTAAAAAAAAAAACCTGTAAAAGACATGACCTGAAACTGTAGGAAATTTTGACTAGAATTTTCAAGCCTTTTATAAAGTTGAAGAGTAATTAAAAGAAATCTGTAGATGTATTTGCAATAAAAAAAACCCCTAAAAACTAAAAATTGATCGTTTACTTAATTCTAGTACTGTGAAAGTGTTCCAGGTTGGTATTATTATTAACTTGCTTGCTTTCTACCTCAGCCCCATGCACTCCCCAGAACATCTCAGCAGAGAGAAATTGTGCAAAAGACTCCATCTCTGTGAAGTGGGAGATGAACAACGCAGCACTTTTCTATGTTGCAATGGCAAAGGACAGCAATGGGGTCATTCATAGCTGCAACTCCGTGGATATGTTGTGTACGATCAGTGGCTTGAAGTGCAGCACCAGCTACAAAGTCTATGTTATTGCCTCCAACTTCATGTGCAACAGCTCTGAGAGTGACATGTTTACCATAGAGACAGGTAACCTCTAGTGAAGATGCTCATTTAGTTACTTTATGTAAAAGTTGCCAAGATGTGCATCTTTTTTCTGAGTGAGCATTAATGACTAAAATGTCACAGTCATATTTGCACATTTATTTTATTTTATTAAAAGTTAAATACAGTTTTGTTTCTTTCTGATTGATAATGGCCCACTTGTGTCATTTCAGTTCCCTGCCCACCAAATAACCTCACTGCCACCCTGGACTGTGCAGCCAATGAGGCTCTGATTTCGTGGCATGGAAGTGTGAGTTCCTACACTGCTACCATTATAGATTCAAGTCAGCGACTTTTAAGCTGCAGTTCCACTGCAACCAACTGCAAAATACCTAACCTGAAATGTGGCAAGCTCTACACTGTGACTGTCAGCCAGCATGACGGCAACTGCTCCAGCATGCCCTCTACGCACATCTACATGGAGTCTGGTAGGAAAATTTCCAAAATACATTAAAAACTGACCACATGTCAATTTGTCAGATCTAGCGTAGTGCTGATAGTCTGAAAAGGCCTAAAATGCTTTTTGTACACAGAAAAAACAGTTTTGATTTATTGTAACAAAAAGGTGTGTTCCCTCGGACTATCCTGAGACCACAAGAGTCATTTTGCTCCACCAGCACCTGACCAGTAATCACTAACCAGGGGCCACATCCATTTATGAAGTCTAGAGCTTAGCAGTTTGGAGCCAACTGATTTTGACACTAGACAGAGAACTGACCGAGAAACTGAGGGAGACTACACACTTGTACAGTAGACTGTCAATCGCATGGTAGACCTGCCAAATTTAGCTTCTTAACTCTAATGAATGACATTAATTAAAGTGATCAACATGTTATATTCACTAATGCTACAACACTGAGCCCTATACTAGCAATACTAGGAAAGTATTTACAGAGGTCATAGATCTTGAAGAGTCACCCCCTGCTGGCCACTAGAAAGAATGTAGGTTACAGGCGCTTTAGCGTTGGCTTAGTTTTCACACCCAGATACAAATGATCTCTTTTCTACTAAGACAGACAGTGAGGCTCTAATATAATGGATCTTTGCCTTTCCATTTCCCTAAACATACTTTCGATATTAAGTTTGACAGAAGTATTCGTTTTGAATATAAAATTAAATGAAAGTTATTGATTCACCAATTCATTTCTTAGCTGCCTGCCTTCACCCACCCTTCTTATTTTTCGTTCAGTTCCTTGTGGGCCAGCCAGCGCAAGTGCCAGGGTGGACTGTGCATCAGGCAATGTGACAATAAGCTGGAACGCATCCCAAAATGCAGAACGTTATATCGTCAAAATCTCAAACGGCACCATGCCGTTGACGTATAACACCACACAGACAAACCTGGCAGTCCACACACTGGAGTGTGGCCAGGAGTACACAGTGAATTTGATGTCCTTCAATGGCAGCTGCGTCAGTCGTCCTTCAGAGTTATATTTCAGGGAAGGTAAGAGAAGTTAACCCTATAAAGTTTTTTTATTTCATTGACATCAGTGGTTCTACTTTGCTACCTACTAAGATAGTTTCTTCATTAAATAACAGCTGAGCTAATCAGAAAATTTCACTCCCAGTTCCATGTGTACCCACTAACGTTGAAACAAGGAGAAGCTGCAGCCAGAATTTTGTGGACGTCATGTGGCAAGCAAGTCGGGGTGCCATAAACTACACTGCTACTGCTCTGGATGCAGATGGCAGTTACTTAAAGTGTACATCCAATGAGACATCGTGCAGGCTGGTCAATGTAATGTGTGGACATGTGTATAATATCAGTGTGGTTGCTGTGGATAACACGTGCACCAGCATGAAGAGCCGCACATTGCAACTACAGATAGGTACACGCTGACAAAAATATAAGTTAACGCTGCTTATGTGCAATCACTGTCAAACTTACACCATGCATGTGTTCTGTGTCGTTCCTCTGCAGAGCCCTGCTCACCCTCTCAGCTGACCGTCTCAGTGAACTGTAGCAGTAACTCTGCCAAGTTAGCCTGGCAGAGGAGCCCCAATGCAGTGTCTTATACTGGCAAAGCCATAACCGCAGACGGTCACAATGTGACCTGTTCCACAACGACAGAACTCAGTTGTAATTTGGAGGGTCTGCAGTGTGGAAAGATGTATAACTTCACTGTGTCAGCTTCAGATTATTACTGTCAGAGTCCAGACAGCAAGCCAGTCATCCATACAACTGGTAAGAAGCAGTAGCACCTCTGCTTTTATTCTACGTCCTAATAACCCTCTCGTACTTATCGAATCCCAAACAGCAGTTGAGATATTGCAGACGAGTAAGTCTAACTGTTTTTCTGTCATCTCAGCCCCATGTACTGTGCAGAATATGCTGACCACTCTTAACTGTACCACCAACATACTGACCATCAGCTGGACACCGGGATCCATGCCAGTGAACTACAGCACCACAGCGGTGATGACAAATGGCACTACACTTCGCTGCGTCACGCAGAGTTCTAGCTGTACGATGCCTGAGTTACAGTGTGGACAGCAGTACAGTGTGAGAGTCAAGCCCATCAGCAGCACATGTGAAGGACCCAGCAGTGTCCCGGAGATTGTAAATTCAGGTATTTTAGTTGACTTGTTAAAGTTTATGACTCTACGAGCCATGATCTCACTCGACATTAAAATGTTTTTTTCTGTCTTCCTTTTCCTCTTTGTCACATCATTTCTCTCACAGTTCCCTGTGTTCCTGTGAACATCCAAACCCTGGTGGAATGTTCCACTAACAGAGTGTGGGGATCCTGGGATGCAGCTCCTGGGGCAATGTACTACATCTCCACACTGAAAGGAGCAGGAGGTTTCTCTACATCCTGTCAAACAGCTAACCAAAGATGCCTCTTCTCTGGTCTGCAGTGTGCTCAGACATACATGTTCAGTGTGATGGCCTCCAACAACAGGTGTAACAGCTCAAACAGCGTCATGGACACAGCAACAACTGGTAAAATATGGACTAAAATATTTTTTGTAGGGTGTGAAAGCACAGCTTACAAATTAGATTTGCTAACAAGTGATTCTTCAAGTTGGGCAAAAGAAGATTATCTCAGCGTTCATTTTCTCCACTTTGACTTCCAGCACCCTGTGACCCTACAAACGTGGCTGCTACTCTGAACTGCCTCTCTGATGTGGTGACGGTTACTTGGAGGGCCAGCGCCGGCGCAAATTATTACACAATCCTGGCTGAGGCCAGTGGACATGTCGACTCCTGTAATTCCACTGGTACTTCCTGTGAACTAACCAAGATGCAGTGTGGGAATGACTACACTGTGACTGTTCTGGCAGGGGACACAAAGTGCAACAGCTCCATATTTGCTAAAACCAACATTACAACAGGTACTTTCAGTTTTGGCACAAAGAATGACGTCAGGATAAACTGAGTAGCTCAAATTATCCTCATGCAAAAAAAGAATGAAATCTTAAACTTCCTAAAACTGCCTACAATTATAGATTACTTAACCAGAAAGATTCCTTTAATCAGCACATCTGTAATGTGTTTTGTGTGCAGCTCCCTGTGCTCCAGTAATCCAAGACCACTCACTGAACTGTAGCTCCAACCAAGCTTTGGTCACCTGGGTTAAGGATGAGGATGCCATGACTGTCATGGTCAATGCAACCTCCAGTATGGGATATATGCAGTCGTGCAGCTCATCTTCCAACAACAGCTGTGTCCTGGATCTGCTGTGTGGAAACACTTACACTGTAAAGGCTGTCGCAAAAGGACCTCAGTGTCAGAGCAAACCCAGCTCTGCTTTTCAGATTGTTACAGGTAAAGAATATAAGAAAAAAATTTGACTTAACAATTGCTGTTTCTTTTTGATGTCTTTCTCTGATTTTCTTTTGAAAACAATTCAGTAGTGGTGGTTTTTATACTTTATACTTTATACAGTACAGTTTTTATAGCAAAAGAAAGAAATCTGTCAGCACAACTTATATATATATATATAAAAAAAGTTTTGTTAAAAAAAAAAAAATCTTGTAGCCCATTGCCCATATCGTCTTTTTTGTTAATTCACAGAACATGTCCTTTTTCACCGTAGACCCAATTTAAAAAAACGCACACACACACACAGAAATTTTTCTACTAAATCTTGGGAAAAAAACAGATAATAGTACTTTCTATCATTTATCTATTACTTAATTACTTTGATGTAGTTTAAAAGACCTTGACAGAGGTCTTTATTAGCAGGAAAAGCGTAAAACATCTGAAAATACAGTTAAGGCCAAGTCCAACCAGCTGTCCAGATTAGAGTCTTTGCTTGGCCAATTCTGGCCCCCAGACCTAATGTTTAACAACCCTATCATAAGGTTTAGGGATGGGTTAAAAAAAAGGTTGAAGGTATTCAGGAACTGAACTTGTCTTCTCTCACACAGCACCCTGTACCCCTGCAAACGTGGAGTACCAATACTCCTGTGACACTGGCATTGCTTTTGTGAGTTGGGATGAGACTTTGGGCAGGAAGAGATTCTATGTGCATGCTCAGTCTGGAAATCTCACAGCCTCCTGCAGCACCAGCCAGACTGACTGCTCCCTGCCCACGCTGCTTTGTAGTCGCACATACAGTGTAAAAGTAGTAGCTCTGGCTGACTCCTGCAACAGCAGCGTGCCCGGCGTAACGACTATACAGACAGGTAAGACGGAGAGGATGTAGATGCAGATGATGTATATACAGCTGGGAAAGTCTGTGGGAAATTCAAAAATACTATTTCTGATTACCATGAATACAATTTCCAATTTCCCCATGTTCCCTTTTCTACTATCGTAAGTATCCAAGTGTAGTAAACTGTATATAATACAGTAAATTCTGTATTTCTTTTAAAACACTTAGTTGAAATGCCGAGTAATGCATTGGATTAAAAACTTTTAGCAAATACATGGCTTAAGATAGCGGTCCCCAACCCCCGGGCCACGGACTGCTACCGGTCCGTGAGACGTTTGGTACCGGGCCTCGAGAGTTGAGGCGGATGTGAAATTTATGGTTTTCAGGGTTTTTATCGGTTTCTATCCTTATTTTTTTATTGTTATTATTGTTAACTTGTTTTCTCTGGGTCTTTTCCTGTGTGTTATGAATAAGTCTTCTTTTTTGGTTACCAGTACTGGTTTTATTTTGTTGTATTTATCCGCGACACCTTAAAGGCCGGTCCATGAAAATATTGTCGACATAAACCGGTCCGTGGCGCAAAAAAGGTTGGGGACTGCTGGCTTAAGAGATACCAGGTGTAACTTCCTAAAAAATTTAAATGAGGGTTAATTAGGTGGTGTTTGTACTCAGTGGTTTTTCCTTTTGTTTTCCTGTCAGCCCCTTGTGCTCCAGTGAACGTCAGTGCTTCCCTGCTGTGTGACAACAACACTGCGGCAGTGAGCTGGCAACACAGTCCTAGTGCAGTGTCCTACAGTGTGAAGGCAGTTGGCAGAGACGGCGACCTCAAAAGATGTGCCACAAACAGCACAAGTTGCCTGCTACCCAACATCCACTGCTCTCAAACCTACATTATCACCGTTACTCCCTTCTCTATGCGCTGCGAAGGCAGAGAGAGTTTCCCATACACCTACAATGCAGGTGAGATAATGCCAAATAAATAAAAAAAACTGGATAAACTTGGCTTTAATCAACTTTATGCATTCTTTAAAATCACCACTAACAATATTTATTTAATAATTATTATATCTATCTTTTATTAATTCAAAACAAAGATTTCGCTTTTAATATTTTTAATTATATTTAGATTTATAACCCGTCCAACTTTATCTCACCATCTTTTTCGCAGGTTCCTGCCCTCCCACCAACGTCCACATGTCTCTGCAGTGCGATGGAAATGTGGGCCGTGTGACCTGGGACCCTGCCCTTCGAGCAGATCTCTACTTGGCCACAACCGCACCTTCTCTCACGGACAAACACATCCACAACTGCTCATCCAATGGAACAAGCTGCTCCCTTACAGACCTCCACTGCGGAGAAACAGTCGTTGTCACTGTTGTCACCATAGAGAGAGGCTGCACGAGCCAACCCAGCGTACCATTCACCTTACAAACAGGTCAGAGAATTGAACCATCCATCCATCCATCCAACTTTTGTAGTGTTCAACAAATACAGCTACCATAGAACTAAACGTCAGATACAATGTACAAATCTGTTTGCCTGGTACTTTTGTGCATCAACATTTTATTAATATGTTATAATGGCTCACATCTGCCACGTTTCAGTTCACCCATATGCAGACCATAACACAGAGCAGAAAGTGAACTTATTTTTGAAAAGATATAACAAAAGTCGACAAAGGGTAAGGTCACTAAATTCAAAGGGTACAAAACCTAAACCAAAACCTAAACAATGCAACAGAACTAGGAACTAAAGAACTTGCAAGAAAGAACCAGAAAAAATGATAAACAATCATATAGACAGTTGTCCTGTCAGATATAACCAACTTTCAGGAAATAAAATAGAACTTACGCAGATTTTGTCTTACCCATCCATCCATTCTCCTTCGCTTATCCTTGTCAAGGGGCAAAACCCTATGATAGGCTGGGACATGCTCTTTCCCCCATAGGGCAAGAGGCAGGGTACACCCTGGGCAGGTCACCAGGGCTAACACAGAAAGGCAGACAACCATTCACACTCACGGACATAAAAAAAATTGCTTGTTAACACATAAGATAAGCAAGACAGTTGAACGCACAGTGATCTTAACACTAATTAATGCCATACCAATAAGTTGATTCTGTTCATCTGGACGTAAAGTTTCCAGTGGGAGACGAATTAGGGAGGTTTTTCAGGTAAAATCAAATCCAAAGACAGGATCTGTTGTTGCTCATATTCTATTTCTAAAATAGTGTTAAAAAAATCACTGGGACACTAATTATCAAATTGTCTCTCTACCTGTCTCTCCCCCTTCTTAGTCATCTGCCCACCCACTGGTGTGACTGGAGTGACAAATTGCAGAAACAATGACATCACAGTAAGCTGGGACCCAAGTCCAGAAAGCGGAGTGACCTACTTCATCTACTCCCAAGGAAACAGTGGGATCGCTTATAACTACTCCACAACTCAGACGTTCTATGTGATGAATGGGCTGCAGTGTGGACAAGCATATATGCTCTCAGTGGCTGCCCAGGACCCTGACTGCACCAGTCTCTTGAGCAAGCAGATAGAAACTGAGACAGGTTAATATCTGGATATTTCTGGGTTTGTTCACCAACAAAGTACTGGTTTGACATCCTTTGCAAATAATTAACCCCAGTTTGGTCTTTTTTTTAATGCAGATGATTTTGTTCATTTCTCACATAATGACTTGTTGTTAATCTCCTTACTTCCAGTTCCATGTCCTCCAACCAACCTGACTGTCAAAACTGAATGTGCCACAAACTTAGCGATTCTGAAGTGGGCACCGAGTAGACATGCCATCTCTTACACAGCCACATTAACTGGTACCCATGGCCACTTAGTTTCCTGTGGTACCAACAAAACAACCTGCTCATTGAAGGTGGATTGTGCAAAGCAGTACTCAGCTTTTGTGGTTGCTTCCAGTGCAACATGCAACAGCAGTAAATCAGATAATCTAACTTTTGTCTCAGGTACATGACATCTGCTTTTAGGGTTAGATTTTCTTTTAAATCTCAAAACTATTAAACAGTCAACTGATAATCTTCCTTTCTCTTCTCTTCCAAAAGCCCCTTGTCTGCCTGACAGGGTACAAGCAAAGCTGGACTGCAATGCTAACACCTTTGCAGTGGAGTGGAGGGGAAGCCTTGGGGACATTGATTACACTGCAATCGCCATCGGCAGCGACAAGACACGGAGAACTTGCAACTCTAGTAGCACCAACTGCGTCATCCAGAACCTAACTTGTGGCCTCATTTACAGCATTGTCGTCACAACCTCGTCAATCGACTGCGGCTTCATTGAAGGCTCCAACTATGAGATACAGTCAGGTAGCAAATATTCTTTGACCAACATTAAAATTGGGGCAAATGTTTTGAAGTCACTAAACAAAATCCATAACAACGTTATAAAACATATTACAATTCACACATTTTGAGAAGGAGCAAGATTCCTGAACGTCCTGAGTCATTTAATATTTAATATTTATTTTTAGGTTTTGTGCAGCAACATTCATACAGTATACTTCTATCCCTTCAAATTTTTCATTATAACCTTTATCTAACCTACTTTCACCCCATTTAATAACTTTTAAAACCGCCCACATCTGCAAGTTAATCTTCCTTGCTTTGTCTCCAGCCCCCTGTAAGCCAAACAGCGTGATGGTGAATTTGCAGTGCAGCACAAACATGGCGACTGTCAGCTGGGCAAACTCAGGCCCAGACCAACTGCAGGTGGTGTCAGCGAGGGACAGCAGAGGAACAGTCACCACCTGCAACTCCACCAGCTCCAACTGCACCTTCAGTCAACTTAAGTGCGGGGAAATATATGCCGTCAGTGTGGTCGGTCTCACAAGCAACTGCAGCAGTGAACTGGCTTTTGCCCAAAGACTCAACACGGGTAATTTAGCAAATAATAATGAACAGATTGATGCACTGTATCACTGTGACAATTCATCAAGCTTGTTTATAACAAATGCAACAGGTCGTTTAGACTCAATCACATTTAGAAGCACAAGAAATAATGGCCTGTCTCATGGCATAATTGAAACCTCTATTAAGTTACAGCACAGCAGAATAATAATAATACAGACTTCTGTAATGAATTATGATCAAAAATAAAAAAATAACTTTCATTTTTCTAAATTAATTTGCTTAGAAGAGCCATTATTTGTGATCTGCACACAAGCTGTTGTGAATGATTGTTAAAATAAAGGCAGAAAATATAGCCAATCATAGCCAAACACTCCCCAGTATTGACACAATTATCAAGGCTATATGAAAGAATAAATACCCCCAAACCCTATAATGTAATGTAAAAATATTTTTTAAAATGTAAAAATGTTTCTATAAAACTACTAAAAACTGAAGAATATTTTAACTGCATTATTTTTTTTTACTTATGCAATGAAGCTGAAGCAGCATTTTGAAATGGTATTAGATTTAGGCGAAGCTGATTTGACTTCTGACATCATAGTCATCCATCACTGAACCTGGACAAGTACATGCCATTAGTGTAGAATATTACAAGCCTGAGCACTGCAGGAATAAACAATATCACACTGATCCATACACTTACCTGTTTCTGTCCTCCATCAGCTCCATGCAATCCCACACACGTCACAGCAAGGGTGGACTGCAACACCGGCATCACTGCAGTCACATGGGATGCTGCGCTGGGTGCCACATCTTACACTGTCTATGCTCGGGGCAGTCTGGGCTACAATGCTCAGTGTAACAACACCGACACCAACTGTGACTTCCTTAACCTGGCCTGTGGACAAGACTACAACATCACAGTGGTGGCTCGCCATAACACCTGTGTCAGCATGGTCAGCGAGACTGTCAAGACCACCACAGGTAATAAAATACAACCTGTCACACCCACACAACAAGCTGCTCACTAAAAGTAAATTGTGCACAGCTGTAATGTTGCTAATGCAACATGAAACAACAGTGCATCAATTTTTCACACCTACTTTTAGTGTTTCTTTGTGTTGCAGTTACTTTTAATTTACTTTAATGAACATAGCATTAGCTTTTTTTATTATTAGCGGCTAAGCTAAATGTTAATGTTATAAAAAAAAAGGTAACAGCAATTAAATAACCCCCCCCCCCAAAAAAGATAAAAACAAATGAACTTGAGGTGATAAGTATGATAAAAAAAATAAAATAAAAACAGGTCTCAGCTGCAGTTAACTGCTAACTGTTATATACGGGTCATCCATAGAAATAACCCCCCCCCCCAAAAAAGATCAGCTGAACATCTTTTTTGAAGATTAAATACATAAATTGTGTTAATAACATTTGCTACATGTTAAAAGTATTAACTTTTCAAAGTTAGTGTCCCTAGTTAACTGCTAACCTGCAGTTATCCTAACAGGAAAACCATTTACTATGTCAGAGCTTTTAAAGTGAAAGAACATTTCTATAGAAATAACTCCTGTTCCTGTGAAAATGAATCCCTGAAACTCAAAATGTAAAAAAATGGGTTTTTTTTAAAAACTACACCTGCTTTTCTTTTTTTCTTCCCTGTCTGTTAGGTCCTTGTCCCCACAGTGGTCTGAGAACATCCCTGGACTGCAACACCAACACAGCTGTGGTATCTTGGACTACAGGAATTGGCATCCTCTACTACAATGCCACAGCTCAAGCCTTCGGCTCCATAGACAAGCAGACCTGCTCTACAAATGGCTCCTCCTGTAATATCAGTTCTCTGCAGTGTGGGGAAAGCTACAAAGTGAGCGTCAGTGGGCAGGGACTATACTGCAGCAGTCCTGCTCAGGACTGGCAGAGAGTGAACACAGGTGGGGTCAATTACATCCTTACAAAACAAGCTGACACCTAACTGGAAGATAATGGATAAACTGTTCTGTGCACATTTGCATACACTATCCAAAATGTTTTGCTGCTTATCAGCTAATTGTTCTCTTTATCTGTTTTAACATACTATGGAAACCATTTCTGCCCAAGCATCCCACTAACTAGTGTTAATATTAGTTATAACATGTAACTGTATGAAATGCAAATACATATTTTTAAAATCTCAGGATCTAGCTCTAAACAGAAACCTCTATCAATGAACCGTGAAAAATAATCTCACTCACTGCTTGTTTCCTCCAGCTCCCTGCCCTCCCACCCAGCTGATGGTGAACTCTTCATGCAAATCAAACAACATCTCAGTGTCCTGGCAGGCCTCTCAAGGCTCAGTCTCCTACATGGCAGTGGCTGAAAATGAACAGGGCCGCCGGTGGTCGTGTAACACCAGCAGCACCAGCTGCCAAATATCTGGTCTGCTCTGTGGGCAACAGTACAATGTCTACGTTGTCGGTATTGATGACAAGTGTACTGGAGCCAAGAGTGACATGAAGAAGATTCGCACTGGTAATTTGTCTATTGTTATTCAAAGCTTTGCACTATATTCACTGATTTATTCATCAGTTTCAGAAAAGGGGATTTCACATTTACTTTGTATGCTTTAACAATTCTTTGCTGTTATTGAGCACTAGCCAAAACAGAAACAGACAGCTGCCACACACTTGATCTTACTCCATTTATGACATATGAATCATTTAAATGTGGCTATAAAGACATGACATGGTGTAATTGGGACATTGGTTAAAACTTATAAACATTCAATTGAATTCATGAGCTAAATTCATATGTCTAAGGTGTTTTTTGTCTTTGTTGTTATTTGTTGTAGCAACCATACCCTTAAATTAGACAAAATACATTCTTAATAAACATAAAAAATTAGCAGTTCTGTGTCTCTGTTAATGATTTCTGTTACCATACAGAAAGTATTGTGTTTGCTTTGTTTCCAGCTCCGTGTGTGCCACAGAACATACAGAACCATCTGGACTGCCTGTCTGGTGTCCTGAACATTACCTGGCAGTCGACAGGTTACTTTTTGAACTTCCGCGCCTCTGTGGTGAACAGCAAAGGTCAAAAGAGCGTTTGCACAACTCCTACGCATTACTGCATTGTACAGAACATGCAGTGTGGGCAGACCTACAATGTTACAGTGGTGGCCCAAGATGAAGCTTGCAACAGTTCCCATAGCCCCACAGAGCAGGTCTCTACAGGTCGGTGCAGCTCCTGTTGGCAGTTCTAGTGCACCTGCTCTAGTATTCAGTGTTCAGCTATTCAGATCTGATATCAGCAGCACCTCTTATCTATATCTATTTATCTTTTAATAGCTGTTTGATTAAAGTGATTTTTTTGGTTCATACATCACATAATAAAGTTTTACCTTCTTGTTATTTACCTTCAGTCTTTACCTCAACTTCTCCTCTTTTTCTGCCGTTCCACTCAGCTCCCTGCCCTCCCTCATCCTTCCTTTCTAATGTGAACTGTGGCACTGGCGTCGTATCTGTCACCTGGAACAATAGTGTGGCAGGGGTGATGTATACAGTGTCTGCTGCAGATGCCAAAGGTGCCAAACACAACTGCAGTAGCACAAACAACGGCTGTAATCTCAGCACACTGGCGTGCGGGATGCAGTACAATGTCACAATCACACCATCCAGGAATGAATGTGTGGGCAAAGACAGCCAAACTAAAATGGTCAAAACAGGCAAGTATCAGCTGTTCTTCTGTTTTTGATCGTATATTCCTCACTTCCATCCCATATCATCCTCTCACTTGTACAGACTGTTGTTAGAAACCCTATTCGCTGCTTATTTCTGGTAAGCCTGTGGTCTTTAGATGATGCAAAAGATGGCTTTGTGCATTTAAGGTTAACCAAAAAATCTGTCATAATTTTAGATCACAGTTCTAACTCATGTATAGTGATAGTGACGACAGAAACACACCAGCCAAGTCATTAGTTTAACAGACTTGTTACAAAAATGCACAGATAATAAAATATTACGACATATTTCAGCAGCTGAGATAATTTCTGGACTGCAGATTTGAGCATCTGTTGATGATATCTACAGAATATAATTGTAAATCCGGTGGTCTGTGTAATCTATGAACATGAATACTGTAAGCACCTAATTTCCTGTCCCTGGTTGCCTCCAGTTCCTTGCGTACCCCAGCTGTCAGACGTGGAGATCGACTGCTTGACGAACTCAGCGTGGGTGATGTATAACGAGTCTGCCGGAGCCAAAGAATATGTTGTGGTGGCAACAGACACCAGGGGTGCTGTTCAGACATTTGATTGTAACTCCACGTCAGATGGGATGTGTTCTCTGCCACCGCTTACATGCAGCCAGAATCTCACCATTACCCTGAAGGCCAAGGACCAGCAGTGCACCAGTGCACCCAGCAACTCTGTCAAAACCGAGACAGGTAAGGGAAAATTATAACGAACGTAAAAGCAAACACCGAAACTGTAAAACCAGGATAAAAGGGAAGTCACTTTAACTAGAATATCACCAGTGCTCTGATGCACTGTGGATTTAAATAGACTTAAACTGATAATATCAATTATATCATAATATATGTTAAAACTATTAAAAAGAAACCATTTAAAAGGTCAGTAATATGAGGCATGAAAATGGTTCTGCTCCTCTGAATCTTTGGTTTTTGGCTCATACAGCTGTTTACCCATTGCTCTGTCTGCAATTTAAAGGATGTGTGAAATGCACTCAGTGATCACCTAATGGGGGGGACAAATTGTGCTCAAGGTCAGCGCCACATTTGTCATTTTACAAGCAGTAAGCGGTAAATGAGCTACTACATAACTGATGTTCTGGTTTTGTTATAAACTGCTGCTTCTTCCTCTTTTTCGTTTGGCTGCTTCCATCTCATCCTATCACACCCACCCTCTGCATGTCCATCTTCACCACATCTGTGAGGTGAAAATTGATAATGTGGATACAGCTTCACAGGCATGAAATATTTACAGTTAAAATACTCTTTGCATAAAACAGCTGAAAGTCACTGTTTTATGGGTTAAATATGTCTAACTTGACTCTGAGTGTGAATGTGTCCAAGTTATGAGTTAATTTTCTTGGAAATGTAGCTCACGCTGGGTTTTTCATGTGTAATGTGTTGTTGTGTTGTGTAATCTCAATAATATTCAAGAAAGGACAGAAACAGAAGTTCAAGTCTGTACCTCAGAGTATTCCTCTTTCTACAGCTCCCTGCCCTCCTAATGGCGTAAAGGAATTAGTGAACTGCAACAACGGAACAGTCACGATTACCTGGTCGACTGTCTCAGGTGCTTTAACGTACACGGCCACGCTGGAAGACGTGTACGGAGACAGTACCACGTGTTGCACTACATCAAACACTAGCTGTGATGTCACACATCTGCCATGCGGCGAAATTTACATCGTGCACGTCACGGCTGAGGGACGAACCTGCAACAGCTCAGAGAGCGAACAGCTGATGTTTAGGACAGGTACAGTGCACACAGTAAATTACATAAAATATTCATTAACATAACTGGGGGGAAAAAAGAAAGCAGACGTATATTTCTGTCCCACTCAGTGCCATGCGTTCCTGAGAATCTCAAAGCCAGCCTGAGCTGCAGCAACAATGTGGCTTCCATGTCATGGAGCTCTATAAAGGAAGGACAGCTTTTCAGCGTAAAGGCAGTGGGTACTGACGGGCATGTGGACGAGTGCAGAGTTCCTGACAAGCAGTGTGAACTGACCAATCTGCACTGTGGACAGTACTACACAGCCACTGTGTCTGCAGAGGACATGACGTGCAAGAGCAAACCGAGTGAGAATGTGACGATCAAGACAGGTATGCACTCCGACTGCTGAACCGTTTTATTGCTGTCGTTTTATTTTGACAGGAACACCAGTTACCAGTGATTTCGAAACTGTCATTGAAAGTTTAGAACTTTGCATCTACTTACGGTACATTAAATCCAAATTCTACTTGTTTTTAAAAAGGTGATGCCAGTTTATTTTTCTCAAAGAATGTTTTTTTCATGCAGAAGAGGTAATTATACATTCACCTACTGGTCACTTTATTAGGTACACCTTACTTGTACCAGTTTGGGCTTCCTTTTTTCTTCCTGGCTTAGATTCAACAAGGTGCTGAAACATTTCTGAGATCTGGTGTCTGTGGAGGCTTTTTAAATACAGTTAATTTAAAGAGATGATTTGACTTTGTGACATGGTGCAGGATCCTGTTGTAAGCAAGAATCAGAGGATGACTACACTGTGGTCATAAAGAGATGGACAACAGCAATATTTGAGTAGGCTATAGTGTGTAAGTGTGCTTAGTTGGTACTATGAGGCCCAAAGCGTGCCACGAAAATATCGAACACACCATTACGTCACCATCAGCCTGAACAGTTGAAACAAAACAGGATGGATCCATGCTTTCATGTTGTTTCTGCCAAATCCCGATACTACCTTCTGATTATTGCTGGAGAAATTCAGACTCATCACACCAGGCAACATTTTTTCAAATCTTTCTGTGATATTAATCACGAACTTTCAGGCATTACAGCTCTGCTCTAAACATTGACAATTGTCTCTTCTCATCAGTGCCGTGCACTCCAGCAAACGTCTCCTCCGTGGTCGACTGTCAGGCCAATTCTCTCATCGTTTCCTGGTCGAAAAGCTCAGGAGCCGATTCCTACATCGCCACACTGCACGACAGCACCAATCAGGGCACAACATGCCAGGCCACAACAGAGGGCTCCTGCAATGTGACAGGACTCGGCTGTGGACAGATCTACCATGTTTCCGTAGTGTCTTCTGATGGGTACTGCAACAGCCCGCCCACTCCTGTTGTTGACACACCGTCAGGTAGGACAGAGAGGGAATTCAATGCATTTTAATTATAGAGAACTATCTGTGGTACAACATGAAAAACGCGTCACATGTGTAAACTGAGAAAATGTACCATTTTAATAAAAACATTGCCGTCCTTGTCTGATACAGGATTCTTGCTGCTCAACAGTCCTGTTTCTTCTTTTATGCAAAGTGCATTTTAAGCCTGATTTATTATCTTTGTATACCCAGTCGGTTGTTTACTGACTGCCATTTAACCCAATTAGTTGGAAAATGTTCCTCATTATTCCTGGAAACATTTTCACCCTTTTGTTCCCGCTACTTAACTTATTTGAGAAGTATTGCTGCCATAAAATTCAAAATGAGCTCATATTTTTCTTAAAAATGAACATTTTCTCATTTCAAACATTTTATATTCTGTCTTTCTGTGTTCTATTGTGAATAAAATATGAGTTTGTGAGGTCTGCAAATGATTTTACCCAGCATAAAACTGCTTTAGAAAACTGAGTTGTAGTTTTGTGTAGTTAAAATCTGCTTTTCTTTTTCATATTTGTCAGTTGCGATACAGTGATGGATGATGTTCAATTTTACATTTTAGTAAAATGCTCCGTCCCTGGCTTTTACATTTTTACTATTCATATAAAGTTTCCTGTCTTATCTGTCTTTCCCTCAGTGCCCTGTAATGCAATAAATATCAGGGCATATATGGACTGTGCGATTAAGGCAGCTGTGGTTTCATGGTGGCCGAGTGATGGAGCCTTGTCATACATCGCGATGGCCACTACAAAGTCAGGTCACAACGTCACCTGTGAGACCAACAGGACCTCCTGTGACCTGACAGAGCTGCTCTGTGGACAGAGCTACTCTGTGTCTGTCAAAGCAATAGGAAAGACCTGCAGCAGCATCGCTAAAATGACAGGACAGCTGGTCACTGGTGAGCAGCACCACAGAGGCTTCACGAACCTATATAGCACATCTTTCGTCTTGCCGAGTTTTTCCACCTTTAAAAAAAGTGAAACAAACTGCTAATTTATTGAAATTGTATAATTATGTTGACCTTTCCCACTTAAAACCAACCAAAATATCAGTAAAAGTGATAAAACACAATTAACCAAAATGACCTTAAATGCACTAAAATTCTTGAAACAATAAAGTTTCTGCTTTTTTCTAACATTACTTACATTACATAACTTTACTACAGTGGACCAAATCTACGCTACCTTCTTGCGTTTAATTTGAAGCTGCAGTTTCGAACACACAAAGCTACATTTTTGTCTCAGTTTTCCTCCATCCTCTCTTTTAGAGCCTTGCATCCCAATCCAAATCACCACCCAGTACAGCGTGACAATCGGCCAGGTGCAGTGGGACATAACCAAGGGTGCTAATTACTACACAGTCACGGGGCAAACAGACCAGGGACTCACCACCTCCTGTGTTACCAATGACACTTACTGTGCATTGTACAACATGAACTGTGGCCAAATGTACAGCATCGTTGTCACAGCAAACAACTTTGTGTGCCAAAATGTGTCTACCTCTACTGAACAAGTTTTAATTGTGACAGGTGAGAACACGTGCTAAACAATTTTTTGTTCCCTGATTTATTTTGGTATCAAAATATCTTCATGTTTTCCTCCATGACTACTGATGGGCTCTTTAAATTTGCAGATCCCCGCTGATAGTTTATTAAGTCACTTTGGGCAGCCTTTAGCTTCAACAATTGGACAGAATATATATCAACATCCACACTAAATCATTCTGTTGTGTCTCTCTTTCCGCACTCAGAGCCGTGCCCGCCCAATAACGTGCAGACAAACGTTAACTGTCAGAATAACCAGGGGATGGTCTCCTGGGAGACAAGTTTTGGTGCAGTGGGTTACGAGGCTCGCTTCGCTGGCCGTGACGGACACTCGCTGTCCTGTCATACTAATGCCACTTCCTGCAGCGTGGAAGGACTTCACTGCGGAGTCATCTACCACACTAATGTCATTGCTATTGGGGAGAAAGTCAATAGCAGCAGGTCCAACACTGTCCTGCTGTATTCAGGTACCCTACCAGCCTAATTTTATTGACATTGTATGCTGAGACCCCCTTCTCTCTTTCCCAAACTTTATAACTGCAGTTTTCACTTATAGCTGAACGGTTTTAAGATGTGTTTTAATGAAAATAATGTAAACTGCGAGAACTTGATTGAAAAAAAGCTAAAATGATAGAAGAAATGAACTAAAAGTAAGACACACGTAATAAACAGAAAATATCACGTGCCATCTCTTGGTCTGAAGACAGCCAACCCCCTTAAAAAGTTTTCTTTTGATTCTTTGAACCTCATTTAAGTGTTTACTTTTATAACAGCATCATAGCAGGCAGCCTAGGCAACAAACAGCGTCTTGCTTGCTGTTTTAAAAAATCAGGGACTTATTTAATTTTTTAAAAAGGGCATAAAAATCGGGTATTTTGAGCTACATCAGCTACATGCCCATGCAGAGAACCTGTGCTTCTCAGTGAATGTGTACTCGTCTGCCGAAATGTATAACATCTATTTTCTGAAGTGGAAACTTGAATAATAAATACGATTTGGAGCCGTGCATTCATGGAGATCATTGCAGCTTTAAAGTCGATGTCCTGCATGGCAGTACTGATGTTGTTGTTTTTTTGCCAATAGCTCCCTGCGCAGTTGGAAAGTGCACAGCTAACCTGGACTGCTACAATGACACAGCCACAGTCTCCTGGAGTCCAGTCAGTGGAGCAAACTCCTACATGGTGACTGCTGTTTCAGCAGATGGTTCCCGCGCTTCCTGTGAGAGTACTGAACATCAGTGTAATCTGACAGAGCTGGAGTGTGGACAGGTGTACAACGTCACTCTCGTAACCATCAGCGACCACTGCCGGACTGAGAAAAGCACTAATATCTCCTTTAGCACACGTGAGTTGAGCCGCGTCTCAATCACGATCTTAAATTTATTCTACAGTCTAAAATAAAATCATTAAAACTATTTTCACTCTTTGAATTACGGCCTAGGCCCCTGTAAGCCGTCACGTGTGGGAGTGGATCTACAGTGTGGGACAAGTACAGCCAACATGTATTGGGAGGAAAGCGCGGGAGTGGAGCTCTACATGGCTACTGCCACCAACATGGGAACAACACTGAAGTGCAACTCCACCAATTCCACCTGTCAGTTCTCTAACTTGACCTGTGGGGACACCTATAAACTCTCCGTCATTGCATACAGCAACAGGTGCTACAGTGAAATCAGTAGCACTGTGGAGATTCAGACAGGTACAGTAACTCGTTAGTACTGATTGACTGAATGAGTGATTTGTACTTTAATTACTGCCTGACTGAATTAATAACATGCTTTATTTCCTATTAAGTGGCCTAACCTTAATTATTAATTATTCTGTACATAAAGATAGGTAGGGAATTTTCATCCACAAAGACTGTTTAGATTTACTCTATTAATCAATTAATTACTATTAATTTCCCTAAATTTAACAGTTGCTAGACTGACAGCAACATCCCTCAGAATACCAATGTGACTCTTCTTTTGTCAGAACCCTGTAAGCCAGATGGTTTGAGGGTCCATGGGTCATGTAACAATGAGACGGTGCTGCTGTACTGGTTTAAGGCTAAAGGAGCATCGGCATATATTGTGAAAGCAGACGGAAACCTGGGATACAGCACGTCTTTAAAAACTAATAACACAATGATAGAGACCAACCTGCCCTGTGGACAGCTGTTCACATTCACTTTAAAAGCTCAAGATGACTGGTGTGACAGTCCTACAAGCCGGCCTGAAAAATACATGACAAGTATGTGTCTCATTTAGATTTTTTTCACACATAACACGCATAATGTGTGATGATTAAACTGTTAACCTTCTCGTCAGCCCCCTGCGTCCCGGCACATGTACAGAGCTTTACACGCTGTGAGCAGAGCCTGGGCTCAGTCAGCTGGGCCGCGAGCGATGGCGCAGAGTCCTACATGGCCATTGCAACAGGACAGGATCGCCACATCCACACGTGCACCACAAACACCACCATCTGCACCTGGAATGATCTACACTGTGGTGAAACGTACACAGTTTATGTCGTTGCCATGAACTACGTATGCACCAGCATGCCGAGCAACAGCACTTCAATTCGGATGGGTAAACAAGCTTTTAAACAGCAGTAATATTTCTGGAATTGTTTTAATGGGGTTTTTTTTAGAGCACATGAAAATGAACGCACTGCATGCAGAACAGTAGCAGTACAGAGCTGAATATCTTAGTTTTAAATTGCTGACATTTTATACCATTTCCTAGCACTTTCATTTTGTCGCTCTAGACAAATCAATACAATTAAATAAAGAAATAATAATCAAATTAATCAACACTAATAAATGTCTAAACTTATGTCTTCTCTTTTTAGCACCATGCATACCTCAGAATCTGACATCATCTCTTAATTGCACGACAAAGGTGAATATTATTTATCTGGATTTTCTTTTAACTCTTTAAAAAGGTTTCTGCTCAGTAAATTAAAGACATACCCAGTTCACCTGGGTAAAGATAAACTCATAGATCTTACTCCCTGGTTCATTGCTTATATAGCTTGAACTCTCTTAAGCAAACCTTCGTGTGATTTTATTGAGTAGTCTTCAGGAAAAGTGTCAAACCTTCTTGAAGGACATTCAAAGTAAGAATGCTATCTTGATTTCTGATGAGGATTGAATTGTATGATTGAATTGTACTGTAATATTTTCTAAGGTGGGATCACTGGCCTGGAATGCCAGTGAAACTGCAGAGTTTTACATCGTGACTGCAGAGAACAACATTGGCCACAAAGTGCAGCTCAGTACCAATGATACCTGGACTTACATTTCTGAGTTCCACTGTGGTCAGGAATACTTCCTGTCTGTTCAGGCGGCAGATTCAGTGTGCACAAGCCGCCCCAGCCCACCTTTAAGTCTTACATCAGGTAAAATCCGGTTTATACTTGGAAAAATTTGTTTTCAAGCCAGTAAGTAAAAGGGCAATGCATATATTATATTTCTTTGCAAAAATGCACGATAACCGTAAAAACAATTGTACATAAAGGATTTTATGTTGTAAAATGCATCATTTCTTACATATACTAAGGAACTGTAATTGACAACGAGTGGTAAAACAATTTTTATTGCCGGTCAGTTAAACGTGATTTTTACAGGCAGACCTGGAGTCATTGAAATATGTGCTGTTAAAATGGAACTGTGCACCATACTTGAGACCCTTTTTTTCTAATCCAGTCTTTTCTCCTTTCGTCCCAAAGAGCCCTGTTCACCCACCGGTATCTCCAGCTTCATGAACTGCATCTCCAACATTGCTGTGGTGTCGTGGACTGGCTCGGCCGGTGCAGAGTACTACATTGCCAAAGTTAGGACGGAAGATGGACAGTCTTCGAGCTGCTGGTCTGACAGCGAGCAATGTGCCATGCCCAATGTCCTCTGTGGACAGAACTACACAGTGACTGTGGTGGCCTCAAACAGGAAGTGTAACTCTGATCCCAGTAAAGGTGACCCACTGCGATCAGGTGAGGACAAATCAGTATTTTTGCTACGCTGTTGTTATTTTTACTCTGAAAATAGAAAGTGTGTAAATAATTCAAAGACAGATCTAATTTAAGTCTTTTTTAAATGTAGTTCTGTGTTCATTTAAAATGTATACTTAAATGAGTTTCAATTTCCTATTCTTCACACTTTTATCTAGTTCCTTGTGTTCCGACTAATGTGGAAGTGAAGATGGTTTGCTCCAAAAATCAGGCTGTTGTGTCCTGGAGTGCTAGCAATGGGGCTCTTTCTTACAAAGTGACAGCACAGAGCACAGTGGGGTCCATGTCCATCTGCCAGACTGCAGGCCCAAGGTGCACTTTGACCAATCTGACCTGCGGACATGACTATTCTGTCCAGGTGGTGGCAGAGGATGAAACCTGCTCAAGTCTGCCCAGCCCAGCTATAACTTTCCATTCAGGTAAAACAGTGAGATTTTAAATGAATCTCCTTTGGACTGTGTGATGTTCATGATGTCAGTGTGTCATAGATTTATTGCTCTTAGCATGTGCAAGTACTCAAAGTGTTACTCCCCTTCTTTTGTCAGTTCCCTGCACACCCAACATTGGCACAGTGATTCTGGACTGCTTCACCAACTCAGCCCTCTTGGACTGGGCCTACGCTGAGGGTGCCTTGTATTACAATGCAACAGCACACTCATCCAGTGGCCATGTTTCCACCTGCAGCTCCAACATCACCAACTGTGAGCTGCCAGGCTTACAGTGTGGTCAGATCTATGACGTGATCACTGTGGCCTCAAATTATGAGTGCAGCAGCCCTCCCAGCTCCACACTCCAGGTGGAATCAGGTAAAAATGCAATAAAAATAAGTTAAAATTGTGAGGCAATGATTTGCTGTAGTGTACCACTTATTTGGTAGTTTCACAGTAATTTCAAACTGGCGGAAAACATATTTTTTTGGCATATTTCAACTTCTAGGGGGGCATAAACAAATGCAAAACTCAGTATTGCGGGAGTTTAGTTGGGTCGCTTACTAGTGCAAACTACATGGCATTTTTTAGGGACCTGAAGATGTTATTAAGTTTTCCATTATAAAATTATTAGGTTTTTAGGTATAAAAGCCTTGATGAAGCTTAAGGAGCTGTTATGTTATCTGAGTCAGAAGTGTAAGCACCTAGAAATGGAGCTAGGGTTGCAGCTAGCCACTGTCATTACACTTACTACCTCCTCATTGAGCTATTTCACTTTGTCCTTCAACCACCAGTGCCTTGTCCTCCCGAGGATGTTATGCATGTACTGGATTGCTCTACTAACACAGCTGTGGTGGAATGGCAGGCCAGCAGAGGGGCGGACTACTACATTGTCCAAGCCGCCGGCGTGGAAGAAGATGAAACGAGTTGCGAGACAATGTCACAGTCCTGCATCCTCGCAGACCTCTTATGTGGATTCACCTACAACATCAGCGTGATTGCTGTTAATGATGTGTGCAATGTGTCAAAGAGTGACACACAGCAGATGCAAGCAGGTACAATAGGGAATGTTCATGTCTGACAGCCAGTTACGACATACTAAGTCCATAATTTTCTTAAATAGGAAAATAAAAATACATAATGTTTTTTGTGATTGTTTAAATATACTACTGAACAATCTAATATTTACACACAGATGTTGTTACTACTAGTTATTATCATTGAAAAGGTCTGTATGTGATCATTGCATCCGTACTAATCGTTCTTTCCCTGTGTTTTTGCAGTGCCCTGCATACCACACCTAGTGGAGGCCGGGGTTGTTTGTGAGTCTGGTGCTGTGGCAGTGTCTTGGGAGCCAAGTAAAGGAGCATTATCCTACACGGTAGTTGCCCAGGGCCGCGGTGGCTACGCTTCAGTTTGCAACAGCAACGACTCAACCTGCCTGCTCGGTGACGTGCTGTGCGGCCTCAACTACTCGATCACTGTTACTGCTTCAGATGACACATGTAACAGCACTCAAAGCTCTGCTGTGGAGATCAACACAGGTTAGAAGATTTCATTTATCAAAATATGATGGATTTTTTAAAAAGAAATCATGAATATATAGTATATTAGAGTGCAATTAATATTCTTCTGTGTTCACATTTGTCTTTAGTGCCATGTGTGCCTCAGAAAGTAAGAGCTGAGATGGTGTGCAGGAATGACACAGGAGTGGTATCATGGGAAGAAGGGGAGGGTGTGTCCATCTACAAGGTCCAGGCTTTTGGACCTGATGGTCACAAGTCAGAGTGCGACACAACTGAAAGCAGTTGCAAGCTACCCAACATGCACTGTGGCCAGCTCTACAACCTGACAGTTACAGCTCAGGATGGACGCTGTGATAACAGCCGAGCCCACCTCAGCCTGCAGTCAGGTAGGTGGGAACTACTGTGTGTGTGTGTGATCTGTGTTTTAAGATGTCTTTAAAGCTTAGCCAATGATAGTAATGATGAAAAAAATGATTGTATGTTGTTGACATGTCAGTTGTCTTACTGCTCATATCATACCTCAGCAATGCTGAATTCATCTTTTTCTTTCACAGTGCCATGTAAGCCAACCAGCGTGAAAGCTTCTTTACGATGCCACTCAAACTCTGCTGCAGTGACATGGGAGGGGGCCAGCGGAGCTCTCCTATATACTGCAGTGGGTGTTACAGCAGATGGCCGTTACAGGGCTGAGTGTAACAACACTATGACCTTCTGTGATCTGAGTGAGCTGCAGTGTGGGCAGACCTACAATGTTAGCGTGTTCAGCCAGGATGAGTCCTGTTCCAGTTTGGAGGGCAACAAAGCTTACGTACGAACAGGTATCAAAAGCAGCGGAGGCTCAGATATGAACTCAGTGTAACAGCTTGTGACTTTATACAATCTACATACAGATGGCAGGCTTAATAATTTATCTGAGTAGTTTAAAAATACTCAAACAACTTGTGTCTCTGCATCCCTCAGCGCCTTGTCCACCACAGAATGTGGTTGTTGGTGCACAATGCGGAGCAGGTTCCATGGTTGTGTCCTGGTCCCCCAACCCTGATGCCCAGTACTTCCACGTGGCTGCAGTGAGCAACACTGGGGCGAGACTCTACTGTAACTCTACTGGAAATAGCTGCACTCTAAATAATCTACCCTGTGGACAGAGCTACAACATCACTGTGCTGTCTATAAGAGATGGTTGCCAGAGCAAACCGAGCGCTGTGGTGGAGTCTTCTTCAGGTAAACTTTTCTTATAAATACAAAATGTACTGATGTGCTGGAGACGTGATACACTTTCTTCATGTCTTTGTTCCATAAATAAGACCCCAAATATGAGACGGTGTATTAATCTGGAAAGCAAAACAGCTGCAAATATCAATCTGATAATAAATATTTGTTAGTTTATTTCATCTTTAAAATCAAGGCTTAAGATCTGAATTATGACAACAGCTGCACCATCAGGTGCAAAAGCCAGCAAACCATGTATGTAACATTTCTTTAGAGATGGTGTTATAGAGAGTTTCCAGATGTGGGAAGTGGGAGGAGTCCCGGCGCATAACTGCAGTTCAACATGTTGAAATAAGAAGCTGAGCTTATGGTGCCAGTGAACATCTGTAGATGATTAAATATATATATATTACATTTACCATGCGCATTAATGTTTTGCCTGATCTTCGGCTTAAGCCACAGATTTTTCACAGGATGTTAACCGGTGGGTGCTACTGGAAGTTTAGAAATAGATATGCTTTCCATCATTTTTTCTTTTATGTTGAATTAAATGTGGATCTCCTCTGGAGCAACTTGCTCATTATTTTGCCTTTCACCTTTAATAGCTCCATGCATACCCAGGAACATTAAGGGTAGTCTGGACTGCATATCAAACAGTGCCTGGGTGACGTGGGACGACTCGATGGGAGCAACCAGTTACTTTGTGCTGGCCCGAGCAGCCAATGGTCACAACTCCAGCTGCACTACCACCTCATCTCCCTGTAAAGTCCAAGATTTGAACTGTGGGACACTTTACACCTTTAAGCTCAAGGCTATCAACAAGCACTGCAGCAGTATTGACAATGCCACCTTTGAGCTTGAGACAGGTATTTAGCAGGAATCTCTGCACTCTGGATCCCTCTCTGTTAAGTGTGTGGTGTTTTGTGTGTTTTTGTGAGGTTTCTGCAAAGTATTTTGACCACTGACATCTCTGGGTGAGGCCTGCTATCTATATCTTTTCAGCTTGTTTTCAGCTGTTTTATCCTTTGTGACAGATTAGACATTGGAAAGGATTTTTCCTTTTTCTAATTATTGGTTTGAATTCTTTTCTGTAGGTCCTTGCACTCTAACATCCATCAGTGCAATGAGCCAATGCAACAGTGACACCATCCTAGTTGAATGGAAGGTGACTGCAGGGACGCCAGTCTATGTGGTCACAGCTGAAGGTGATGACAACTCTGTTGTTACCTGTAACAGTACCTCCACTTCATGTGTACTCCAGAATGTTCACTGCGGCATGCACTACAGCGTCATAGTAGCAACTTCCTCTGATAAGTGCAGCAGCCTCAGAAGCCCTCCAAAGAAGATCCAAACAGGTATTCTTCAGCTTCCCAGATTTGTCTGCTAAACTACAGTAGAGTTTCAGTACAAACACCCACAGAGATTTGAATCAGATAACTCTGTCTTCTTTAGCACCTTGCGTCCCAGCCAATGTAACAGTGGTGCCATCGTGCAAGGACGCTGGGGCCAAAGTGAGATGGGCGGACTCTCTGGTGCCCACATCATACCAGCTGATAGCCACAACTCGAGATGGACACGTGGCAACCTGCAACACCTCAGTGAACAACTGCTCTTTGGTTGATCTTCACTGTGGTCAGCTGTACAATTTAAGCATCACTGCCAGAGGGGAGAACTGTACCAGCTATCCCAGCAGTTCATCCTTTAAAACAGGTACAAATAACTGATCAGTTATTTTCTGTCATCTTATTGAGCTTTACTTCTTCAAGTCTTTTGATTAGTTTGTGTTACTGAAAAGGGTATCCTGTTTTTTAGATTCAACATTTCTAAAAAACTGCGTTTAGAAATTGGGCTGCATGCTACGTTCCCCTAACAGGAATCCTCTCTCTCCTTCCTATCAGTGCCCTGTGCGCCCTCTGATATCGCGGTGGATATTGACTGTCAGACCAACTCGGCAGCCATGTCGTGGAACAAAAGCACGGGTGCTGTGGAGTATTTTAGCTTTGCACAATCCACGAATGGAGTCGCCCTGTTCTGTAACAGCAGCAATCCCTCCTGCACCTTCAAAGGGCTGGAGTGCGGTGGCGTTTACAATTTCTCTGTGACAGCCTCTAACAGCATCTGCAACAGCTCGTTCAGCTCACCTCTGCAGGCCGGAGCAGGTAAGTCAAACATTTATATTTAACCACAAGTTTGGGGAAAAAAAGTGTTTAATGTGTTTCTACTCCTACATTTATGGTCAATTTGCAGTGTTATTGATAAAATGCTTCTTCCTTCTTCTTCAGTCCCGTGCCCTCCTTCTCGTGTGAATGTCCGTATGCAGAGGATAGACAGGTTATACTGGGCCATGATATCATGGAGCAAAGTTACATGTCCTGATGTTGATTATTTGGCGGAAATCAGCGGTCAGATTGAAAACAACCCACAAGCCTTGATGACTGTCTCTTCTTATTGGCTACCCAGGCCATACTTTGAATTTCCAGTGCCTTGTAGCACTGCTTTTAACATCACAGTGCGTGCCAAGAACTCAGCTGGTATCGGCAAGCCATCGAGTCCCATTACTGCACTAACAGGTAACTTTCTGTTCTCATTTGTAGACTTTAAATGGAACAGGATGTGTTTTTGCATGGATGTTTATGTGTTCGCAGCAGATGGCTGCAGTTCCCTGGTTCCGCTGGAGGTCTCTTCCTATTAAAAGGGAGTTTTTCCTTCCCACTGTTGCCAAAGTGCATGTTCATAGGGGGATTGTTTGATTGTTGGGGGTTTTCTGTGTTATTGTAAGGTCTTTACAATATAATGCACTTTGAGGCAATTATTTGTGACTTGGCGCTATATAAATTAAATTAAACTGATTTATTTTGAATTAAACTAAACTTATACCATAATGTCAGCCTCAAGTTATAGCGATTTATACATCAAATGCAATAATAACAAAAGCCTGACATTACAGTATAGATAAAATTTTAACTGTAGCATTACCCTTTCCTTCGGTTAACAGCATTTTCACTGTTTCCTTCCCAGCCCCGTGTGCTCCACAGAGTGTGATGTACACTGGCAACAGGCAGTCTGCTGTCCTATTCTGGAATGCTTCAGTGTTTGCTACCAGTTACACGGTCTACAACGTATCGAGAGGAACCCGTGTAAAACTATGCAACACCACCAAACTCTCCTGCCAGCTGACCGACTTCGATCCTAATGCAACTATAGTGACAGCTAGCAATGCTGTAGGGGAGAGCAATCCCAGCCAAAACATTACAGGTCAGACAGACAGCAGTGGTCTGCAGCCTGCACGCAACTTAGGAAAACAGATTTAAATGTTTCTACACTCCTTTGTGTTTTATGTAATTCTTTATAACTTTGTATAACGCCACTAAAAATTAAATGTGGTTGGTTCTTTTTCTATATATTGCTATTTAACACAACCCTCTTTGAGACATTTTCTTACGAGTGCTTTCCGCATCTTCCTCAGGTCCAGTGACAACTCGCAGAAGAAGAGACCTGGAATTTGTTCAGTTCTATGCCAGTTTAGAAGAGGGTTAGTGTGTTTGTATTGGTGTAAAACAGCATCAAGATAGTGTTGCTCATGTAATCAATCAGCTGTCACTCACTTCCCTCTGTCTCTGTTAGATCTTGAAATCCCAGAGGTGCTGACATTAACAGTAAGTGGAGTTTCTTTGCATGTGAGTTGGACGACAGTGACGGGTGCCACCGAGTACACACTTATGATTGAGGAGGAGCAGATAAAGGGAAAAGCCAGCAAGCCGGCGAGAGTTCGAAGAGTGGAAGGTGACTCTTACACAGAGACTGATCTCAAACCCCAGACCACCTACTGCGTCAGGGTGGCAGCCAAAAATGCCATCAACCAAAGCAGCTACTCCCAGTCCAAGTGCAGAAACACTGATGCTCTAGTGGGCTCTTAGTGACACACACACACATGCACGCATACACACAAATTCACTTAAATAGACACTGGACTAAACAGAAATACTATCATATGCCACTTTGTAGCATCCATAACACAACTCATGCTGGTTTGATCGTACACATACTTTAGGAAGATAATTGTGAAAAGGAAGTAATCACACATACAAAGTCATGATAAAATTATGTTTCTTAAATGTCACAAAGAGATGATGATCAACCCTAACAACCACTTATAGATTTAAATGCTTCTGAATTTTCTGTGGGAGTAGTTTGTATATTTGCATAAATGTAGCTCTGCTGAAATTATACAGTATTTATCAAAAACATGCTTATATTTTTGGGGTAGGTTATTCGATTCTCTGCATGATTGATGAAAAATGTAGTGTAAACAAATAAAATGGTAATTTATAAAGCTATATTTGTAAAGCCATGCAGTATCTGATCTTTTTGATGTACGATGTGACTTCTCAGATTGTAAACACGCCGACAGATGCTTTTGAACAATCCCAGAAATTAAAGAATAAAAAAAAGGTTGAAAACACACAAAACAAATCTAATCTGGAGTTTCATTTTTTCCAACTTGGAAAGCACACCATCTTTTAACTCTGAAGCTTTACATATCAGGGCCTGTGCAAGTCTGAAGATTATTTTAGAACAACTTCAGATAAACAACAGAAGACATTACATTATGTCACTATTTATTCAAAAAATGCTAATCCAAATTACAGAAGTAATGTGTATTTTCTCATACTCAAAATCAGAGGTCTTCACTGGGATTTATGCACTGACAGGCAGATACATGGATAGCTTTAACACTTAGAACAGCCAGGAGGGTAGTAGTAGTATAGTAGTATTTATTTATTGTCATTGTCAAGAACAATGAAATTGCGTTTGGGGCTTCCATACAACCCAAAAAAAGAAGAAAATAATAAATACCCCTTAAAACCCAAGTGTACATATTTAACCCAGTGTGACTCCAATGCAATAAGACAATCCTTAGCAATAATGTTCGTAGAAATTCAGACAAAGACCTGAGAAACATGACAAAATACAACAATGCACCCATTCAATATTATTGTCATTTTGACCTTAAGTAGAATTTGATTTGGGCCCCCCGCCAGCACCAGTCCCGCCCACCTCAGCACCACTAGTATTATCTATAGTTTGTTCATGCTTTATCATTTGTGCATTAAACATCAAACACAACTATTATCATAACTTACTAGTGTGCTGGAAGGAAATCAAGACAATATGATTCCTGTTCATGTGCCTCACAGCTGTTCCGTATTTCCCAAATGTGGTAGAGCGCAGTGATATACTGTGAAAGGAAATGATGCAACTGAAGCCTGGCAGCATCTGGTATATATGAAGCTTTGGTCATTTGGATAAACTGGCCTAGAGGGACAGACCACTGTGTATTATGTAAAGCCCCACAGCACAATGAGCACATAATAAACCTCACAAGTCTATTTTTGGGTTTCAAAACTTTCAAAATGAAATGTTCTGAATGCTGTGATAAAACAGTTTCTGTTTAAATAAATTATTTCAGTGTAAAACTGGGACTGTGTGACGCCTCAGTTGTCTGAGGTGATCCTGACGGATCAGAACTAACTGATAATTAAGGACAGTCAAGTTTTATCATATGAACAACAGTATGTTACCTGAAAGTATTCAAACACTGTATTACGAATTCTTGTCTCTGTGGGAAAGTTGCATTCACTATATGTGTTTAGGGGTTTTCGTGGCTGCAGTGAGTGATGCTGCAAGCAGTGTTTTAAGAGAGAGATAGAAATAAAATGGTCTACTTGTTTGGATTTTGCAAGTCCACAAGACCTCAAGTCAGTAAGAGAAAAGCACCCTCTGCAGTACAGCCCATGCAGCAGTCCATTGTCCATAGCACAATCCATTTTCACACAGGAATACACCATAACACAAATATTTTTTATACACATGCTGTATGTCTCTTACTGGATATTTAAGTATCGTTTTGTTTTTAACGGGCATATGGAAGCATGGTTATTTTCATATTTCCATAAAATGTTAACCTCTCACACAAATGTCACACAAACTGGTTCGTGTGACATTTCAAGCGCTCTTTGGGGCCCCCTTCTGGTGTTGGAATCCCATTTGCAATTCATTTGCTCGGATTAATAAGGTGCTCCACACTCTTCTTCACTCTGCAACCCATTTGGTTCTCCACCCATTCCACCACACACTGCTCTGCTTAGCTATGGCTCAATGCGACCCTGCAGTACTTTTTAACCTTTTATCGTTATATATTTAACTGGAGCTTTGCAAAAGGTTGTCAACAGCCAAAGAAGAGCTTTGAATTTCCTTTGAGAAGCCTGGAGAACTGTTAATGACAACAGCTTATAGAAATCACAAAACAAGACTTCCTAAGAGAGTTCAGGCAGAAAAAAAGTGGTCATATCCATCCAAATATTGACATTCTGGCTTGTTAGACTTGTACAAACTCAATTTATGCCTTAGACTGTATTAGCATGTATGTGTGTATGTTTTTTCTATTTTCCATAGCAAAATGTAAAGAAATGCAGGTTGGCTCAAGGCTTTTGCACAATACGGGATATATTTGTGGTGGAAAATGGACATTTGTATTACTACATAATTGCTTTGCTTATATTATGTGGAGTAGAAGCAAAAATATTTAAAAATAAGTCATATATTTTACTTTCAAAGACATGCTCAAGCCTGCTGAAGCCTCGATTAAGCTTTAAGGGATTTTTCCAAAGCCAACAATTATTAATTTAATATAAAAAAAATAAATTTTGACCAGTTGGATGCA